AAAAAAAAAAGCATCCGGAAATCCTTAGTAAACCCAGTACTCAGCAGCCCCTTGTTTTGTTATTTGTAGCCTTTGTATATTGTCCACATCCTATTTATACAATTTTACTTTTAACATTGTATTTTCCTATGCTGTTCAAGACTGTTTTTATTAGCTATTATTAGACTATTTTTATTAGCTGTGTAATATTTTACCCCATCACCGCCATGTTTTTAGACATACTTTTCCAATATTACAAATAATGCTAAAATGAACAGCTCTCTGAGACTAAGTATATCTTCATGCCCACTTCAAAGTACACCCTTAGTCTACACTGACGTAGAATTTCTAGGCCAACAGGTGGATATTTTTAAGGCACATGATACAGGTTGCCAGACTCTCTCAGAAAGGTACCTTGTTTACTTCGCCACCAGCTCTCTGAAGACATCCATATGAAAGCACCCACAGCGGGTTGTCCAGTGTTCCTTTCAAAAATCCCTCCTGCAATGCTGGATGAATTGGGGTACCTTACTGTTGCAAGTGGCCCCTCGCCCATTTTAGTCCGTTTCTTTTAAATCATTTGCATAATATTGTATGAAGTTGGAAATCCTTCCTCTTTACTATTGAGGTCTTAAAGAAAAAATGTCAAGAACACTTTAATCTCTGAAGTTCTTCGATTTTTAAACATCCATTATGGCAATTTAAATGACCTGGAGGATGTTCCAGTTCTCAGACGCGACAATGGCCCCCTGAGGGGCAGATACTACCAAAGCTAGCAGCCGAGGGATTCAGGCCTCAGCACTTCGGCGCCTTCAGCCACGGTGCGGTGGCACAGCCTAGGAAATCGCGTTCCTCCCGCCCAGACCTGCGCTCGGGAGTGTCCCCAGGGCCGGGGAGGCGCTTTCTAAGCTTGACCAGGGGCCGTACGGAGGAAAATCCCGCCTCTCCCTCTCCCTCCACTTCATGATAAGTCCGTGGCGAGGGACCGGGCTCTTGCAGAGCCCCATCTTGCTCGGTTGCGTCCGCGCGCCCCGACTCCTCCACTGCGCCTCGGGTTGGAGCTCCGAGGTCTGGCGTTCGCCTGAATTCCCCCCCGGCTGTCCAGCCGCGAAGTCAGAGCGGGTCCACGCAGGTCCCCAGAATTCTGTAGCTGCTGCCCCTTCCAACCCCGGAGGGAAAGCGTCCGATGGAAGTGCCCAGTCACCCGCTGTGCCTGCCTCCGCTCTCCGCGCCTCCCTGGTCACTTCCCGCCGTCTTCTCCTGGAGCTTCCACGCCCAACCCTTGCACTCCCTCCCTAGTTTTCCTTTGTCTCTTTCCCACTCTTGTCCCGACCGCCCCAACTCCTCACTTTCCCTCTCCCGCCGGCCGGCGCTGCGCCCCCTCCTTCAGCTTTCCTTGTCCCCTCCCCATCCCCGCCAGGAATTCTCCCATCCTCTCCCCTCCTCTCCGGGCTTCCCCTTTCCCACCCTTGACACCCATCCCCGTACTCACTCCCTGGTGGCCCCGGTGCCCCCACTCCCCGCTGTTTCCCGTGTCCCCGCCCCGCCCCCGTTTTTATAACTGGCTCCCTGCGCTCCGGGAGGTGAGCTCGGGAGCTCGAGCGGGTCTTGGAGAGTTGGAGGGGCTGGCGCCGCTGGTACCATGAGACCAGAGAAGGCGGCTGGAGCCCGGGAGGCTCAGGGGCGCTTCTGTCACTGCCCTGAGGACGAGCCCCAGAGGCCATCGCCACCGCCCGGGCTCGACAGGTGAGGGTGTCCCCGCGACATGGGTTGGGGGACGCGAGCGCAGTGTGGGTACGGGGAGTGCAGCGAACCAGAGCCCCCGCACGGCTGACAACCCCGAGGCTGGGCAGAGCCCCGGAGCTCGACGGCGACGCCGAGCAAGTTCCTTGGCCAGGTCAGAGCCCTGCACCCAGTTCTCTCGGCTCCCAATGTATGGTCCTGGACCGCTGAGGTCCAGGAGACACCTGGCAAGGAAATGGGCCAACGCTTTGGTTTATAGATCTGAACTTACCTGGCTTGGAAACATTGAAGTCTCCGGACCCCTAAGCGAGCCTTGCAAAGGAATCCTCTCACTTTGTCAGTTTTGGTGGGTGTTTGGTTTCCCTGCTCTTGGGGATCAGGGCTCGCTGTCCCTGTTACCAGCTCTTTTTCAGGTAGTAACGTTTAAGGAAATCAAATTAACCGCGGAGCAGGGAAGGGGCTGGGTGGGCCATGTAGCCAAAGAGGGGAAACACAGCAGAATTTCGGGGTGGGGGTGGTTTGCACCGTAGAAATCTGTAAAATCATCTCTGTAGAATCAAAATCTTTCTATGATTGAGACAGGTGGGGAACCTGGGGCCTTCTGGATCCTTGAGTGTGGCTTTTTGACGGAATCCAAATTCTACAAAACAACTCCTTTTAATAAAGGGATTTAATAAAGCTTGGATTCGGTTAAGAGGTGACACTTGGACAGTTTGGAGATGTGGCCTTGAGGTCATAGACTCCCCGCCCCTGAGAGCGACAAAATAGGCAGCTGTAGCTGAGAAATCCAGGACTGAATGGCTCGGAGCCTGTGGCTCAAGCGGCTAAGGCGCCAGCCACATACCGCTGAGCTGGTGGGTTCGAATCCAACCCGCCCGCCAAACAATAATGGCTGCAACCAAAAAATAGCCGGGCGCTGTGGCGGTTGCCTGTGGTCCCAGCTACTCGGAAGACGGAGGCAGGAGAATCGCTTGAGCCCAGGAGTTGGAGCTTGCTGTAAGCTGTAATGTGAGGGCACTCTACCCAGGGGGACAGCTTGAGGCTCTGTCTCAAAAAAAAAAAAAAAAATCCAGGACTGAAGAATCCAGCCGGGGTTCGCTGGGAGAGAAATCCCTCAGCAAATGTGCTCCCCAATAGAAGTGTCAGATTTGGGTCCTACCTTTCCAAAACCTAATTGAAGGCAGAAAACTGGGAATGCAGCCCAAGAGAAAAACACAAATGACACTGGTTTATCCACAGGGCAAAAACCTGAAGGAACATTCTGGGCTGTCCAGTCACTCTTTTTCAGGCAGGCACTAGAAATGAAAATAGCTTTCAAAATTTAAAAAGACAGCAGAAATGCCTTTCTCTCCGGGTGCTTGCATTCCAGCTCCGCACTGTGGAGACCTTGGATCCCCACACCTGGAGATGCTGAGCTGACCAGGACTGGAAGCCAGGTAAGGTTAAGTGTAGACATTGAAGGTAACCAGCCCAGCCAGAAAGTGGCACCATCTCTAAATAAAGGGACCTTGAAAGGCCTCCTCCTCCTCCTCCTCCTCCTCCTCCTGTCCCACCCTAGGACATCTAAACTGTGCCCCAGGGTCTGAGAGCCAGTATGAGGAAGGGATTACTCAGACCTGAGTCACGCTGTAGATGGGGCTCCTCCTTTCTTGAAAAGCAAAGCCAGGATGGCATAGCTGTTTCATGGGAATTTCTTCCGTGTTTCTCCTGCAAAGCAGCAGGTAGAGAGGGGAGGGGAGAAGGCTGTCACAGCTCCTTGCCTTAGAAAAAAGCTGAGTGCCCCATTAGCTCTTGGCAGTGCAAATAGGGCAGAGCCTCGTCTGAGGAGCTCAGAAGTTGCAGTTAAAAGCCCTCACCCTGCGTCTGGCCCTTTCTGAAGCACTTTGGGCACTGTCTGCAAGCAATCCATGGGTAACTCATGTTGTCTGAGCAAACACACTCAAGCCCAGGGCTTTGTGAACAAAGATTAATTGCCACTACTATTCTTTTGTTACCCTGCTTTGGTAACTAACTTGCTTTATATTTTTGATGCAATGACTTGCTTTCATAGAATTTACCTCTCCTTTGTTATATTTTAAGGTATACATTGATGCCTTTTATTCATTTATTTATTTTTGATGACTTACTTAAAATGCTGATGAGTTAATAACAGGCTGGGAAGAACCATGCATTTAATTTACATAACACGTGGTATATGGCTTACTGTGCATTTGTAGTATGGTAAGATGTGGGTGTGGGAAAGCCCTTCTTCACCATATTTTG